GGACTTTATTATACTCGATCTGAGGACGTTGTTATACTCGACCAGAGGACTTTGTTATACTCGATCAGGGGATATGTTATATTCGATCAGGGAACTTTGTTATACTTGATTATCGGACTTTGCTATACTCGACCAGGGGACTTTGTTATACTCGATCAGGGTATTTTGTTATACTCGACCAGGGGACTTTTTTATACTTGACCAATGGACTTTGTTATACTCGATGAGGGGCCTTTGTTATACACGATCAGGGGACTTTGTTATACTCGAGCAGGGGACTTTGTTATACTCGATCAGGGGACTTTGTTATACTCGTCCAGGGGGCTTTGTTATTATCGATCAGGGAACTTTGTTATACTCGATCAGGGGACTTTGTCTTACTCGACCAGGGCCCTTTGCTATAAGCGACCATGGGACTTTGTTATAATCGATCAGGGGACTTTGTTATGCTCGATATGTGGACTTTGTTTTACTGGGCCAGGGGACTTTTTTATACTCGATCAGGGGACTTTTTTATACTCGACCATAGGACTTTGTTATACTAGTATCAGGGGACTTTGTTATGCCCGATCGGGGGACTTTGTTATACTGGGCCATTAGACTTTGTTATAGTCGATCAGGGGATGTGTTATACTCGATTAGGGGACTTTGTTATACTGGACCAGGGAACTTTATTATACTCAATCAACAGACTTTGTTATACTCGATAAGGGGACTTTGTTAGACTCGAAAGGGGGACTTTGTTAACCTCGACGAGGAGCTTTGTTATACTCGAATAAGCGGCTTTGAAATACTCGATCAGGGGACTTTGTTATACTCGATGAAGGGCCTTTGTTATACTCGATGAGGGGCCTTTGTTATACTAGATCAACGGACTTTGTTATACTCGATCAGGGGACTTTCTTATTCTTATACGATCAGGGGACTTTGTTATTCCCAATGAGGAGGCTTTGTTATACTCGATCAGGGGACTTTGCTATACTCGACCAGGGGACTTTGTTATACTCGATCAGGGGACATTGATATACTCGACCAGGGGACTTTTTATACTTGACCAATGGACTTTGTTATACTCGATGAGGGGCCTTTGTTATACTCGATCAGGGGACTTTTTTATACTCGACCATAGGACTTTGTTATACTCCATCAGGGGATATGTTATACTCCATCAGGGTACTTTGTTATACCCGATCAGGAGACTTTGCTATACTCGACCAGGTGACTTTGTTATACTCGATTAGGGGACTTTGATATAATAGACCAGGGGACTATGTTATACGCGATCATGGCACTTTTTTTACTCGACCAGAGGACTTTGTTATACTCGATCAGGGGACTTTGTTATACTCGTTCAGAGGACTTTGTTATACTCGATCAGGGGACTTTGTTATACTCGATCAGGGGACTTTGTTATGCTCGATCTGGGGACTTTGTTATACTCGATCAAGGGACTTTGTTATACTCGATCAGGGGACTTTGTCTTACTCGATGAGGGCCCTTTGCTATACTCGACCAAGGGACTTTGTTATAATCGATCAGGGGCCGGATACTCAAAAACATTTATGGGACTGTATGTCTTTGTTTACCCCGTAACTGGACTTACAGTCTCAGATCGGTATACTCAAAACACAGATGGCATACTCAAAACACAGATGGTATACTCAAAACCAATATTTGACATCGAACTCCGTAAGTTAACGCAAGTAACTTACACCAGCTCCCGAGGTTGTGTAACACTCTCAACCCGGATGTAGTAGTGACTAATTCCCGATTGTATAGAAAATAATAATAATATATGTTGTAATAATGCTTGTTAGACTTGTTTTATCATAGAATAAAGAAGAAAATGTTTTGTACATCAACATACTGAAATATAATATTTCACTTTGTCTTTTTGGTAACTTTTTTGTTGTATAATAAGCTGCTTGAGTGTTTGTATTTGTCGCAGTTTGGAAGAGACGCATCTTTTGTCTTCTTACACATTATAAAGTATTTCTTACCAAAATAGAAGGTTTGTATTGTTCACACTTAGGGTAAAAATATGTTTTATGACTGAGTAAACTTGCAGATAGAACTTATTAATGTTGTATAGCCGTAAATATCCCTCAGTAATGAAAGCCAAATATGAGGTCAAGTGAACATTCCTGCCAAGACTTCGCCTTGTTTTTCTAATATTCAACCAATAGCCTGAGCCTATTTTCTTATGTGTATGGCTTATGATAACATGAAAGGCTATAAATTTCCATAGGTTAGCGAAAATTAAATGATATTAGGTGTAAAATATGGATTGCAATTAACTTGATTAATAGGTGCCTATATAACTGCTTTTTCAGTCTTAGGCAAATAAATGTTTAAACATGGGGCCTACTTAATTTAGTTAGAACATGAGGATTATTTAAATAAGAAATTATACTAATAGGGTATAGGTTAGATAGGTTTGGTTTGGTTATGTTATGTTATGTTATGGTATGTTAGGTTAGAGAATGTGTACATGGTTTTTTGGTGAGCGTCAGGCCGTCAGTGAGACACTTTGTCTAGCAGCTACCTTAGGCCTAGTTCCAGACTTTCCTTGAACATTATCATAGGTAGAGTATTAATTTAAGAAAATTTCGGCTAATCCGATATATTTTCAGGTTTTAAATTGTTGTTTTTTGTATGAACTTGAAGACAATTCAGACCAAATATTCCCAACATTGAAAGGAAAACACTAGGGTCTAGGCTAAATGAGTAATTTAAGAGAAGTGATTTGTCATTTAGGTTAGGCAAGGCTATACTATCATTAACCAATTTATTTGAATTTGCCCAGAATAAGGCTATCTTAGTATAGCTTATGTGTCTTGTCACAGGCCAACATTATGCAAGGGATTATTTACCTAAATTCTAGTGGGGTAAAACACCAAATACTGTGAGATCTCTGTTAGCCGGAACAATTGGTGAAGAGCACTACCGTGAATGAATGAGTGTTTTCCCGTTAACGAGACAGTTATCACAAATCAAGAAAATATCCCTCATCCCCAGAATGTTTATGGTAATGGAAAAATTTTCTCGGTAGTTCCTGCAATTGCCCATTACATCATCTCTCGAACCCGGAAATATATCCCCCATCTCCGGACTTTTCTCGGTTATCTGGGAAACTTTCCTCATAGTTTTCAGGAAAATTTGCCTCTCTGAAAGTCATTTACCTAAGCCGTAAGTTTCTTGCAAAATCATGCTTTGGGAATTAATTTTAGATAAAATTTCAATTACGGCTTTCAGAAAGTTCCGGGTTTCAAGGATTCCGGCTAACGGAGAAGGCTGCTGTTCCTACCAGAAATCAGTTTCAAATGCGAGTATGTGACAGACTTTGAGGCAAGAGGATGTCTTTTAAATGCTTTTAACACCCTTATTTACTTGAATAATGAAAAAATTTTTTTCAATTTTAAATGAATACAGAGATTTTAACGCGTTGTGCATTTTTCAGTATTTTACCCCTAAGAGCCAGGCAAAACCTTAAGGCTGTAATTTTTGTTTTTCACAGGCATAACCCTTCAATTCTAGGCCTAATGATAAAACTTTGAATTAGTTAGTATCAACATAAAAACAATACTGTAACAAACTTCTAAACCATTGCATAATTTTTTGTCCTGCAGATTGATCCAGTAACACTTGGACCTCATTTTCCAGTTACCCTGCAATGGATCTTGTTGTAGCTTATCTGCATGATCGAGCTTTACGACGTGAACGAAGGTATCGGGACCCTTTGGATCCCAAAAATATAAGCGATGAAAATCAAATTAGATATAGGTTTCCTCGATGTGAAATTCTAAGACTGTGTTAAGATTTAGATCCATTTTTAAGGCGTAGAACGAGAAGATCTCATGCTGTTCCCATACACACGCAAGTGTTAGTTGCCTTAAGATTTTATGCCAATGGAACCTTTCAACATGTACTTAGTGATACAGCTGAAGCTGTAGCAGGGACAGGCCAAGCAGTCCGAGCCAATGTAGTCCGTAATTGGTTTACTTGATGAATTAAAATCAAATATCAATTCACCAATACAATTTTCCTCTATGTTTAAATAGTACTTTTTAGTGCAGTATACAGAGGTAATGCGAATAAAGCGTACATTGATTTAACTTTTATTTTCAATATTCTGTACATAAAAAAATAAACTTCTTTATAGAAATTAAATGGCTTTCTTTTACCTTAATAATATATGTACTATATCCTTGAGCAAATTTGATTCCAATACAGTATACTTTTAATACTACTAAATACCAAAGGCACTAAAGTTTGTGAAACAAAAAATCCCTTATATTAAAAATATTTGAGAAATTGAAACAATAAAAAAATATTGCTACTGTTTGCATCTTAAACTACCGTACACAATTTGACATGGGTCACCACATCGTTGTGAAATAATAATACAACTACTGTTATTTGTTGCCATTTTTTAGATTTAAGAATGAAATACAGTATAATTTTCATATGTCTAGAATTACCTGCATCAATACCCGTAAATTAAAAGAAACTTATAACCCAATACTGTACTACTACAAGTAATAAAGAAAAAATAGAATACAGTACTCTTTGCTTGTTAAGCTACAAAATGTAACATGAGACAGCACATCCTTATGAAAGAACCAATGCAACAACTTGCGCTTTGGAGACTAATGTGTGTTAAATAGCAGCGATTACAGTAGGCTGTTGGTGAATTTGCACCATTATTTCTGTTTCAACCTACTTGAATCATACTTCGCAAACTACAAACTAATAAATAAAACTCGTTGAACTGGAAATTGACTACGTCTTACAAAATAAAGGAACCTTTAAAAAATAAAAATAAGTACATGAGCCTCTTTTCAAACATATAATTTTGAGTGTGGTAGGAACTTTTACCCAAAACCTGGGTAAACATTACCCGTAGTAGCACTGCAACCCATGTTATTAGTTGACAAATGTGTGTCTTTCACTTAACTTCGTGATTTTAATTAACTTATGGAGAGCTAAATATTCCTGTTACATTTTCATGACTAGTATAGGCTGCAAGTGAAAGTTACACAATTTTTTAACATGCGATCTTCCTTCATAACAATCACTCAAAGGAAAATTTATAATAAGTGTTTGATGACTTTTCAACTACGCTATTATCACATTTACCAAAAGTAAAGGACTTACCTAAGTAAACAACTACATATACACATACCATAAACACAGCATCATTGGATAGGATTTTTCGACTGCATAACTTTTGCAATGCATAGCATTGCAGATGCAATGCACTCTGTGTGAGCTACAAGCTGTAAAAAACTGTCCCTCATTTGTGTTTGAACACGAAGCATCTCTCGAAGAAGATCTTCATCTTTTCGGGCAGAAGAGGTTCGTGGCCTCCTGCCACTACTGTTCGTACTTGGCATTGGAGATGAATCCATTTCATCAGTGTAATCACCAGTTACAGTTGACCTAACAGCTGTGGCAGAAGGGGTACTAGACCTACTTCGCTGTTCCTTGGTAGCAGCAATAGGTTGACGAGTATTGCTTGAACTACATGTTTCTACCTCATATGTTCCGGATGATGAAAATCCAGGAATGTTTGTAGGTGCTGAAGTTTCAGGTTCTAAATGCACAATGGGTACTGTGATATCATGTTCCTGTATATCCTCATTCAGAATGCGGGTTATAGAATCATCTTTCTCTTGAACGGGCCGAAACATAAATTCCTCTCGGAAACAACTACCGGTAGCTGTAAACCTAGCTCCTGAGGGTCTGGGGGTTGGTTCTCTTTCTTCTTCTGGAAAGAAATGTAGTATAATAGGTTGATTGAAGTCTATGTTAAGAGTATAATTAAAATATTACACTGTATTTCCAAATATACAAAAGCTTTTAGGAAAAATAATGGTTTGAAAAATAGTGTTGACCATCTAAATATATTTGTTTAAAATATTTTTAAATCTAAATATCAACTAGGCGTTAAATTTCTTATATTTGCACTTCTCAATTTTGTCCATTAACATACGAGTTATAAAAACATTTAATATATAAATTAGGGAAGCAATAAACAAGCTAGAAATGAAACCAACTTACTAGTGTTGTTATTTTTCAAAATTATATAAAAAAATCAGTATAGTGTACAGTATTTCCAAATCAAGATGTGAAAAAATGTCTCCAAAAGTTTTTTTTTAAATAAAAACAAGGGCAGAAAAAAACAAAATATATCAGGAGGTTGGAAAAGTATTTTGACTGAATTACCATTACTAGGTTCTTCACTTTCAACATCCCCTGGAATCCCATGTATAGAGGTTGGATCTAATAGTTGAAGAATTGCTTCTTCAATTGCAGTGTATGTAATTTCAATTTGGGGGCCGCCACCTTGAAGAGAAAATATAAATAATAACTGTCTTACTGTGAGCTGTGGTTACATACACTATATGCTAACTATGTTATATTTGGCAGAAATCATAGTTACAAAGGAATCTACTGAAATAGTTCCAAACATTATAACCTAACCTATCATTGTAGCTGTAGCCACAAAAATTCTCCTTTATCTATGTCAAAAGTTAATTAGATTTAATGTAACAAACAATAAATGGTAAAATAAGTCAAAAAAAATAGTCGCAGCCAGAAATTTTCAACCTGTATTAGTTGTAAACTCAAAAGATAGAACATCCTTGCCTATAAGCCTAACAAAGTAAAATTTACATATTAATGTATACCAAATATGAATATAAATCTATTGATGAATGAAAATTAACGACATAAAAAAAGGAATTCTATGGCAACTTATACATTATGACCTTCATTACCGTCGGAAATAACGTAATTATTAATATGTAGTTTATAACAGTAACCAAACCTACCTAACCTAGCTTCCTTTACCAACGGGAGGACTCCGCCGCCCTGCCACACAAACTCATATTAACTATCTCTGTTCCACGTCAGTTGCGACACAATGACAAGTGTGTCTTAAAATTGTGTAATCTATATGATAGGTATAATAAGAAAATCCAAAAGTTGTGGGGAAATTATTAACAGTTGTACAGACTTCCCTGACTACCGGGTGGGAAGATATTGGAAGCATAATGTGTTGTCTAATGGTAGACCCTGCTGCCATATGGCATCACGAAAATTAGGAGCAAGTCCAAGGTTGCTGATCTGACTAAATGTGTCATTTACACACAATTGCAGGGTCGCAATTGTTTCTCGTAATATCAACAACACAACATACATACTGTATATTGATTCTCACTTTTTGTGTTTTCATTTCGGTATTTATGGTTATTTATTATTAATATTATTATTAATAAAGAGGTATTTTTATTAATAGTACTAAAGAATTATTATTACAGGCCCCGACGTGGGTCAGTGACTGTGCCTGGGTTGGTTAATCCACGTAAAAAAAAAAAAAAAAAAATTAGGTTGAACGGTAAAGTTTTTACTATTTACTCACACGGAAAACTTCGAAGAACGATGTTTCTTTTAATGAATGCGCTCATATAAGGAAAATATGTGTATTCATTCACGATGGAGAGCCACCACACTACTTACTTCCTTGAGTTTACAAACACGAAAATCGTACCAAGCCTCAGAAAAACCATAGTTAAGTTTGTTTCATATTGTCAATCAATAACCACGCTAACAATATTAAGACTTACCTGTTCCACCAGCATATTTCTTATCTTGTGCTGCTTTTTTCTTAACGCTCACACGAAGATCAGCAGAAAACTTCCGCCGAATTTCAGTAACATTGCGGGTGACTCTACCAACAGCATTCACCTCATTTAACACTTCACCCCAGGCTGGTTTTTGAGTTGAAGTGTACAACTACTTGAGTCCAACTTCCCTAAAATCATTTCTTGTCTTTTGGCCACCTCAGTCACAAGAGCGTATACTTCAGCCTCACTGAAATTAGGTCGTCTCTTCTTGGCTGGTGGTCCTTCCATGTTTACACAATAATATTACGTGCGTCGCTCTCAGCTGATTTCTCCTTCTCTTGTGATTGGTTGATGATTTTGTTAACTGAGCGTTGATTGGCCAACTAGCGTCTGCACTGACATCTACCGTCCGACAAGAGAACTTAATTTACAGGGTAAACACTAGAGTTACGAGAACTTATGGTAGTCTTACGGAACCATAATTAAATTTTGAGTATGCTAAATTTATGGTACTGTAAGGCTTCCACAATATATGGTACTGTATCATGCTGAAAAACGTAACTTATGAGGTGTTTTGAGTATCCGGCCCCAGGGGTCTTTGTTATGCTCGATATGGGGACTTTGTTATACTGGGCCAGGAGACTTTTTAAAACACAATCAGCGGACTTTGTTATACTGGACCAGGGAACTTTTTTATGCTCGATTAGGGGACTTTGTTATACTCGACCAGGGGACTTTGTTATACTCGATGAGGGAACTTTGGTATACTCGACTAGGGGACTTTTTTATAATTAATCAGGGGACTTTCCTATATTTGACCAATGGACTTTGCTATACTCGATGAGGGGCTTTTGTTATACTCGATCAGGGGACTTTGTTATTCTCGACCAGGGGACTTTGTTATACTCATTCAGGAGACTTTCTTATACTCGACCAGAGGACTTTGTTATACTCGATCAGGGATATGTTATACTCGATCAGGGGACTTTGTTATACTTGATCAGGGGACTTTGTTACACTCGATCAGGGGACTTTGTTATACTCGATGAGAGGACTTTGTTATACTCGATTAGGGGCCTTTATTAGACTCGATCAGGGGCCTTTGTTATACTCGATGAGGAGACTTTGTTATACTCGATCAGGAGACTTTGTTATACTCGATCAGGGGACTTTGTTATACTCGACCAGAGGACTTTGTTATACTCGATAAGGGGATATGTTATACTCGATCAGGGGACTTTGTTATATTCAACCAGAGGACTTTGTTATACTCGATCAGGGGACTTTTTTATCCTTGACCAATGGACTTTGTTATACTCGATGAGGGGCCTTCGTTATACTCTATCAGGGGACTTTTTTATACTCGACCAGAGGACTTTGTTATACTCGATCAGGGGATATGTTATACTCGATCAGGGAACTTTGTTATACCCGATCAGGGGACTTTGTTATACTCACCCAGGGAACTTTGTTACACTTGATTAGGGAACTTTGTTATACTCGATCAAGGAACTTTGTTATACTCGACCAGGGGACTTTTTTATAATTAATCAGGGGACTTTGTTATACTCGATTAGGGGCTTTTGTTATACTCGATCAGGGTACTGTGTTATACTCGACCAGGGGACTTTGTTATACTCGATCAGGGGACGTTGTTATACTCGACCAGAGGACTTTGTTATAATCGATCAGGGGATATGTTATACTCGATCAGGGGACTTTGTTAAACTTGATTATCGGACTTTGCTATACTCGACCAGGGAACTTTGTTTTACTCGATCAGGGGACTTTTGTTATAGTCGATCAGGAGACTTTGTTATACTCGACCAGGGGCCTTTGTTATACTCAATCACCGGACTTTGTTATTCTCGATAAGAGAACTTTGTTAGACTCGAACAGGGGACTTTGTTATCCTCGACCAGGGGACTTTCTTATACTCGATTAGGCGGCTTTGAAATACTCGATCAGGGGACTTTGCTATACTCGATGAGGGGCCTTTGTTATACTCGATCTGGGGACTTTGTTATACTCGATCAGGGGACTTTGTTATACTCGATCAGGGAACTTTCTTATACTCGAGCAGGGGGCTTTGTTATACTCGATCAGAAGACTTTGTTATTCTCGATGAGGAGGCTTTGTTATACTCGATCAGGGACTTTGCTATACTCGACCAGGGGACTTTGTTATACTTGATGAGGGGACATCGATATACGAGACCCGGGGACTTTTTTATACTTCACCAATGGACTTTGTTATACTCGATGAGGGGCCTTTGTTATACTCGATCAGGGGACTTTTTTATACTCGACCAGAGGAATTTGTTATACTCGATCAGGGGATATGTTATACTCGATCAGGGGACTTTGTTATACTCATCCAGGGGACTTTGTTATACTCGATTAGGGAACTTTGTTATACTCGATCAAGGAACTTTGTTATACTCGACCAGGGGACTTTTTAATAATTAAACAGGGGACTTTGTTATACTCGATTAGGGGCTTTTGTTATACTTGATCATGGTACTGTGTTTTACTCGACCAGGGGACTTTGTTATACTCGATGAGGGGACGTTGTTATACTCGACCAGAGGACTTTGTTATACTCGATCAGGGGACTTTGTTATACTCGACCAGGGGACTTTTTTATACTTGGCCAATGGACTTTGTTATACTCGATGAGGGGCCTTTGTTATACTCGATCAGGGGACTTTGATATACTCAACCAGAGGACTTTGTTATACTCGATCAGGGGACTTTGTTATACTCAATCAGGGAATCCTGTTATACTCGATTAGGGGCCTTTGTTATACTCGATGAGGGGGCTTTGTTATACTCGACCATGGGACTTTGTTATACGCGATCAGGGGGCTTTTTTATACTCGACCAGAGGACTTTGTTATACTGGACCAGGGGACTTTTTTATACTCGACCAGAGGACTTTGTTATACTCGATCAAGGGATATGTTATACTCGATCAGGGGACTTTGTTATACTCAACCAGGGGACTTTGTTATACTCGATCAGGGGACATTGTTATACTCAATCAGGGGACTTTGTTATACTCGATTAGGGGCCTTTGTTATACTCGATGAAGGGGCTTTGTTATACTCGACCAGGGGATGTGTTATACTCGATTAGGGGACTTTCTTATATTTGAACAATGGACTTTGTTATACTCAATGAGGGGCCTTTGTTGTACTTGATCAGGGGACTTTGTTATACTCGACCATGGGACTTTGTTATACTCGATCAGGGGATATGTTATACTCGATCAGGGGACTTTGTTATACTCAACCAGAGGACTTTGTTATACTCGATCAGAGGACTTTGTTATACTCAATCAGGGGACTTTGTTATACTTGAATAGGGGCCTTTGTTATACTCGATGAGGGGGCTTTGTTATACTCGACCAGGGAACTTTGCTATACTCGATCAGGGAACTTTGTTATACTCGACCAGGGGACTTTTTTATAATTAATCAGGGGACTTTGTCATACTCGATCAGTGGAATTTCCTATATTTGACCAATGGAGTTTGCTATACTCGATGAGGGGCTTTTGTTATACACGATCAGGGGACTTTGTTATACTCGACCAAGGGACTTTGTTATACTCGATCAGGGGACGTTGTTATACTCGACCAGAGGACTTTGTTATACTCGATCAGGGCATATGTTATATTCGATCAGGGACTTTGATATACTTGATTATCGGACTTTGCTATACTCGATTAGGGGACTTTGTTATACTCGAGCAGGGGACTTTATTATACTCGATCAGGGGACTTTTTTATACTCGACCATAGGACTTTGTTATACTAGTATCAGGGGACTTTGTTATTCTCGACCAGGGGACTTTGTTATACTCGACCAGAGGCCTTTGTTATACTCGGTCAGGGGACTTTGTTATAATCGATCAGGGGACTTTGTTATGCTCGATCAGGGAACTTTCTTATACTCGATTAGGGGACTTTGTTATACTGGACCAGAGGACATTGTTATACTCGATCAGGGGACTTTGTTATACTCGATCAGGGGACTTTGTTATACTCGATCAGGGGACTTTGTTATACTCGACCAGGGGACTTTTTTATATTTGACCAATGGACTTTGTTATACTTGATGAGGGGCCTTTATTATTCTCGATCAGGGGACTTTGTTATACTCGACCAGGGGACTTTGTTATACTCGACCAGGGGACTTTGTTATACTCGAGAAGGGGAGTTTGTTATACTCGAGAAGGGGACTTTTTTATACTCGATTAGGGGAAATTGTTATACTCTAAGAGGGGACGTTGTTATACTCGAGCAGAGGACTTTGTTATACTCGATCAGGGGATATGTTATATTCGATCAGGGGACTTTGTTATACTTGAATATCGGACTTTGCTATACTCGACCAGGGGACTTAGTTATACTCGATCAGGGGACTTTGTTATACTCGACCAGGGGACTTTTTTATACTTGACCAATGGACTTTGTTATACTCGATGAGGGGCCTTTGTTATACTCGATCAGGGGACTTTGTTATACTCGAGCAAGGGACTTTATTATACTCGATCAGGGGACTTATTTATACTCGACCATAGGACTTCGTTATACTAGTATGAGGGGACTTTGTTATTCTCGACATGGGGAATTTGGTATACTCGACCAGAGGCCCTTGTTATATTCGGTCAGGGAACTTTGTTATACTCGATCAGGGGACTTTGTTATGCTCGATCTGGGGATTTTGATATATTCGTCCAGGGGGCTTTGATATACTCAATCAGGGGACTTTGTTATACTCGATTAGGGGCCTTTGTTATACTCGAAGAGGGGGCTTTGTTATACTCGACCAGGGGACTTTGTTAGACTCGACCAGGGGACTTTTTTATATTTGAGCAATGGACTTTTTTATACTCAATGAGGGGCCTTTGTTGTACTTGATCAGGGGACTTTGTTATACTCGACCATGGGACTTTGTTATACGCGATCAGAGGACTTTTTTATACTCGACCAGAGTTCTTTGTTATACTCGATCAGGGGATATGTTATACTCGATCAGGGGACTTTGTTATACTCAACCAGAGGAATTTGTTATACTCGATCAGGGGACTTTGTTATACTCAATCAGGGGACTTTGTTATACTTGATTAGGGGCCTTTG